GTACAGCTAGTGTAGATCAGTGTAGTGTACACTAGAGCTAGTGTAGATCAGTGTAGTGTACAGTACAGCTAGTGTAGATCAGTGTAGTGTACGGTACAGCTAGTGTAGATCAGTGTAGTGTACAGTACAGCTAGTGTAGATCAGTGTAGTGTATGGTACAGCTAGTGTAGATCAGTGTAGTGTACACTAGAGCTAGTGTAGATCAGTGTAGTGTACAGTACAGCTAGTGTAGATCAGTGTAGTGTACGGTACAGCTAGTGTAGATCAGTGTAGTGTACAGTACAGCTAGTGTAGATCAGTGTAGTGTACAGTACAGCTAGTGTAGATCAGTGTAGTGTACAGTACAGCTAGTGTAGATCAGTGTAGTGTACGGTACAGCTAGTGTAGATCAGTGTAGTGTACAGTACAGCTAGTGTAGATCAGTGTAGTGTATGGTACAGCTAGTGTAGATCAGTGTAGTGTACACTAGAGCTAGTGTAGATCAGTGTAGTGTACGGTACAGCTAGTGTAGATCAGTGTAGTGTATGGTACAGCTAGTGTAGATCAGTGTAGTGTACACTAGAGCTAGTGTAGATCAGTGTAGTGTACAGTACAGCTAGTGTAGATCAGTGTAGTGTATGGTACAGCTAGTGTAGATCAGTGTAGTGTACACTAGAGCTAGTGTAGATCAGTGTAGTGTACACTACATTGTCTTTGTCGTGTAGGGCAGCTGTATTGGTGTCCGTCAGTGTGTGTGTGTGTGTGTGCGTGCGTGCGTGCGTGCGTGCGTGCGTGCGTGCGTGTTATTGGTTTGTGTAATGATCTCCTCGTGGGCAGTGTGTGTGTAGCTGACGTTTGCTTTACCTACAGGTGAGCCCAATCCGCTGAGCTGCAGCATGGCCAACACTGCTCATATGGGTGGCATGATGCCTGCCGCAGGACACATGTACCACCAACACCACCAGCAGCAGCTTCACCCGGCACTGCAGGGCATGCACGGAGTCTCTACATACCCGAGCCAGGGACACTCCTTTACTACGGGCCCTTTCACAGACAGCAGCGTCCCCAACTCCAGCAGCGTGCCCTGCCTGTACCAGGATTACCAGGTGACCCACTGGCAAACACCTTCTTTCTGTAACCCGGGCGAATGTTCCCAGATGATGTAATGTGTGTGTTTGTGTGTGTTTTCTGCGTTCATCAGGGATGTGTGTCTGAGAGCGGGCAGCCTGGCGTGGCGTCGCTCTCTGGAGAAGCGGGCATGTACCGCGAGGGGCAGCAGAAGCTGCAGGGAGACGTGCCTGTGGTGCCAGGAGGTCAGGGGTCGGTGGAGTCAGTGGATGCCATCTACAGGGCGGTGGTGGATGCGGCGGGCAAAGGTGTGCACGTGACCATCACCAGCGGTGTAAGCGGCTCCACGCAGGCCAGCCCTGTGCCGGCGCTCAGTGCCATGAATGCCCTTCACCGC